AAAAAAAGAAAAAGAAAGAAAACATGTCTTAAAAAAAAAAAAAAAGAGGATTGAGATGGAAGAGAACCTTGTTTTACCCGTTTGCCTTTTCACTGCATAAGTTAAAAACTGGTGGCCATGCACTGAATCTGGCCTGCAGCTCTTTTATTTTTTGGCCTAGTCAGATTTTTAAAATGTTACAAATTATTGGTTAAGATTTCACACAAAATCCAGGTTTCTTGAGAAATCCAAAGATTTGGCAACTCTACCTAAACTCCCACAAAACCACAACTGGCAGGAGCGGGGGGCAGCTGTTCCCTTTGGATGGAGCCGAACCTGTGCTCCGGTTCGGGATGCTCGCACCCTCATCAGCTCCCGACCAGCATCGGCTGGCGCTCATGGCTTGCCCATGTCTCTTCCAGGCAGGCTCGCTCCACCTGGTGTTTCCCTCTCCTTTACATGACCTGTCGGGCTCCTGTGGTAATTGGAGTTTGCAAACCGTGGTCTATGGCAGCCGTGGGCAAAAGCACGGCCACAGTCTGGGCAAGGGAAGGGGGTCCCGCCGCTATGGACCCGCTGATGCTGGTAGAGGGCAGAGCTCTAGCTGAAGCAGTGGCCGCAGTCAGGACAGCGGTGAAGGATAGGGGGACAAGGACATATATGTAATACCTTAATCAATAAAGAAAAAAAAAGAAAAGAAAAAAGAAATGGAAGTTCCTTATGTTTTGTTCCTTTTCACTATTCCTGACCTGTATTACTGATGGAAGTACTGATTTCAAGACCCTATGAGCCATTCTAGCAAAATTTTGGTTGCTTTTCCCCAGAAAGTGAACTGAAAAGATTGAAATGTTCCTAAGCATAGGAAGCAAGCTAGGCAGTTTAATACTCTTCTCTTTTTCCTCTTTGTCCCCTGTGCTTTTCCCCCACTGGAGGGGCCTACTTAGCCTATTCTTTTAAACACTGAAGGCATCCCCCTAAGAAAGGAGGGCAGGCTTTTCACTGCCCCCAAAAAGACAGCATCTGTCTTACCTGAATCTTCTTCATCGGACATCTGGGAAAGCGACTCAGTGGAGGGGGCCTTGAGCTCTGTTGATGAATCCATTGCAAGTAGTCACAGGCTGCAGTTCCTCCTAGAATCTGAAGGCAGGATCAATGATGCTCAAAAATCTCAGGTTGCTACAAGTAGCCTGCAAAGAACAGGAGTGAAATGTGGGGAAAGCGCTAAGTTAAATAATGCTGGTCAACCAATCCACAAGCCTATTTTTTATGTAAATGCTGATGACTAAAGAGATTAAGGTGGGTGGGAGTAGTTCTTAGTTCTGCATCTGCTCTCCAAGAGATAATCATGCCCTCTGGCCCTTAGGCTGGAAAATTTATCAGGAGCCTCGATGGGTGTATCCTTAAAATTTAGTGTGTTTTTTTTGTTTGTTTGTTTTTTCAAATTCTACTTCCAGAGATGACTACTGGTTTGTGAACCAGACTTGGCTCATTCTAGAGCAGAGCAGAAAAGGGCAGTTTCCCCCCATTTTCTGATAAACTCCCAATTACATTGACTGAGAAAGTTTCCTTAAAGTTTTCCTTGCCTGGCTCATCCTAAATCTTTGATGCTTCTCAGGGGAAGTCTGCTAGTGAGGGAAAGTAGAGAAGTGTCATTATAAACAGCTGATTAGCTTGATATTTTATGGACGTGTAGTTTAGACTTATAAATGTTTTGTTTTAGAAGCTACACCTTTAAATGCATTTAACATTTTCAAGCAACTGAAATTAAAATTTTTAATTACTGGCCTTCCCCCCAATAGTTGTATTGAATTCTAGCAAAGAGCACCAACATTAACTGCTGATTTTCTTTTTCTTTTTTTTTCTGAAAACAAGTTTTCTTAAAATAAGGGTTTAAATACATTACATAACATTAAAACTGAAGGAGGGGGGAAAAACCCCAAAATTCAGTTTGTTACTTCACATGGCATTGGGCAGCTATTGCTAGTTAGTTGCAAGCTCTATAGCCAGCGACATGACCAACACTTTAGTTTGTAATTTGTTCCCTTGTCAAAAGTTTAACTATGATAGAAGGTTGGCCTCAAATAATGGTGTTTGGACAACAGTTAGCTAGGTTATGTCTGGTCAAAAAAGACCTTGGTGGCAAATCAGAATTCCTTATCACCTCCTTAAGAGAAGGTGGCAGGCTGCTCTAAGCTCCATCCAAGTAGTCAGGTTGTAGATCTTTTTTTTTTAAATATATTTTATTGATATTTTACAGAGAGGAAGGGAGAAGGATAGAGAGAAACATCAATGAGAGAGAAACATCGATTATCTGCTTCCTGCACACCTCCTACTGGGGATGTGCCCGCAACCAAGGTACATGCCCTAGACCAGAATCGAACCTGGAACCCTTCAGTCTGAAGGCCGGCGCTCTAGCCATTGAGTCAAACCGGTCAGGGCTGGTTTTAGATGTTTGACTACCCATGGCTCACTCTAGTGGTGCAGATGCTGCTGCTGCCTTACCCCTCTCCTCTCAGCTTCAGGAAAGGCTGCTCGGGCGGTGACATTCCCTGAGGGCTGGGAACTCTGAGGAGCCACACTCAAGGGGCCAAAGAGCGGCATGTGGCTCGAGAGCCGCAGTTTGCCGACCACGGTTCTAGGAGAAGCTTGCATTTCTTTCCCTGTACCTTTCAGAGTCAAATACCTGGTCTTCTTTTAAAAAGCTTATCTGAGCCATATTTTAAAATGCAAGTTTTGCCTGCCTAGTGTGGTTCAATGGTTGAACATGGAGCCATGAATCAAGAGGTCACTGGTGGGATTCCAGGTTAGGGCACATGCCCAGGTCTCAGGCTGGATCCCCAGTGGAGGGAGTGCAGGAGGCAGATGTTCAATGATGTTTCTCATCAAAGTCTCTCTATTCCTCTCCCATTCTCTCTCTTTAAAAACCAATGAAAACGTTCAAGCATATGAAGATGGGAGGGTAGATGACAGCTTTTATGTATATTTTGTTTCCCAAAGAAATTCACATCTGTAGATGATGAGTCATGAAAAAGGAAAATAACCTAAGTAAAATACCATTGGATGGCAGCCGTCTCTTACTATACCACTATCATATTTCATTTCCTCCTGTCAAAACCCTCTACTTTCCTTCTACCTCTAACTCTTCCATTATTTTTTTTTTACATTTTTTTTATTGATTTCAGAGAGGAATAGAGAGGGAGATATAGAAATGTTAATGATGAGAATCATTGATAGGCTGCTTCCTGCAAGCCCTGTACTGGGAGTCAAGCCCACAACATGGGCATTTGCCCTGAAAGGGAATTGAACCATGACCTCATGGTTCCTAGGTCCAACCTCAACCCAAACTGGCTGGACTCGCTATGTTTTGTTAGTTTTTAATCCTCACCCTAGAATATTTTCCCATTAATTTTTAGAGAGAGGGAAAGACAGAGAGAAACATCCATGTGAGAGAAACAGATGAAATGGTTGCCTCTTGCATACCCCCTGACCAGGGCCCTGGTGAGAGAGGAGCCTGAAATCGAGGTACCTGCCCTGGACAGGAATTGAACCAGGGCCCCTTCATTCCTCAGACTGACACTCTATCCACTGAGCCAAATCTGCTAGGGCTAAAAAATATTTAAAACAATAGGGAGCCTAGCCCTAGCCCAGCCATGGGCAAACTACAGCCCCGCGGGCCGGATCCGGCCCGTTTGAAATGAATAAAACTAAAAAAAATAAAGACCGTACCCTTTTATGTAATGATGTTTACTTTGAATTTATATTAGTTCACACAAACACTCCATCCATGCTTTTGTTCCGGCCCTCCGGTCCAGTTTAAGAACCCATTGTGGCCCTCGAGTCAAAAAGTTTGCCCACCCCTGCCCTAGCCGGTTAGTTCATTGCTAGCAAAATCAAGTATAAAATAATGACTAAGAACAATGTGGTGAACATGTTACTGGAAGAGAAAACCTAAATTCTTGTTTTTTTGAGGGAAACATTTCCATCAAGTGACAAAGTGGAGAAAAGCAGGCAAGAATTTGACCTCAACCGTGTGAAATGTTTTGAGATAGAGTATATTTGTGAGTGTAATTTTATGGCTTCTTTCCCATATAGGAGAAACCTTTCCATCAGTATGGAAAACTAAGAAAATTACTTTCCACTGCATAATCTGGATGTCACAGATTAAAGCTTATTTTTCTGTGAATAAAATGTATTCAATAAAGTACTGTTGTTTAAAAAGATCTTAAAAAAAAACCAAACAGAATTTATTGACCTCACCAAAAACCTACTTAGGGCAGTGACACAAGGAAGGGCATAAAGAACCAGCAGGAGAGCCTAGGATGGGCTGCTTTGGCTTTCCGGAAAGTCAGAGAAAAGGGGGAAAAGGGGAACCTTGGAGACAGGTCCAGGAGTTGGCCCAGGATGAGGTGCTGCTGTCCGTTGCTCCCCTGGTTGCAAGTCTCCTGGGGTACCTTAGAGATTAGGGGATATGTCCCCAGGGGTGCGGTGAATAGAGAGGGAAGAGAATGGCATGGGCATGGTCTCTAGGAGCTTCAGAGGTTTGAAAGGGTGGGTGTTTTGTGGAGAGCTTATGGGTAGAAAAGAATATTCACTAGCTTTATGCTGATGCACCAAAATGAGATTTATTCTCTTAACTGGGTTTCTATTATCTGCACCGCCCCCCCCTCCCCTGACTTAGGATGATTTAAGCTATTTACCCTCTGGCTGGGGAGAAGTGTAAACAATTTACCCTGAAGTGTCCTTGGTTTAGGGAAAATGGGACGTACTAGGTGGTTCCCCAACTATAGGTCTAAGATTCCCTATTCCACTTGTCCTGGAATTTTCATAGCTTCGTATCAAATACACAATATAGTATACCAGTGATGTATTATACAACTGTACACCAGAAAACTATAATTTCATAAACAATGTCACCCCAATAAATTCAAAGAACAAAAATACACATGTCTCAGATATGCCTCAAGTTTATTAAAGATGCCCTATACACACATTTGTTACTAAAAATTGAAATACATCAAAAAATGTGTTACAACTTAAATGAGTACAAGAATACGGTGTATGCCTAAAATGACTTCATGTCATAATTCTCAGCAACACCAGACGAAGGACCTGGATGTAATAGGCAATGACTACAGCCACATTGAAATACAGGTTCATTCTGGGGAAAAAAAAAAAAAAAAAGGATTGTGTTATGAGCAATGAAATGATCAAATGCTCCCTCAAATCTAAATAGCATTTGGCCCTAGCTGGTTTGGCTCTGTGGACAGAGCATGGGCCTGCGGACTGAAAGGTCCCAGGTTCGATTCCAGTCAAGGGCACATGCCTGGGTTGCAGGCTCGATCCCCAGTAGGGGGCGTACAGGAGGCAGCTGATCAATGATTCTCTCTCATCATTGATGTTTCTATCTCTCTTTCCCTCTCCCTTCCTCTCTGAAATCAATAAAAATATATTAAAAAAAATAGCATTTGGAATAGTGTACACTAAAAGGTAAAAAAACAAGACCAAAGAATGCTAGCACGTGGGCCATTTTGTAACAGCTGCTGGTTGTCAATCAGGGGTTTGTCCATTACCACCCAGCATTATTGGCATGAGCATCCGGTTTCTGACAGCATATAGACAAGTAAACATACACCAAGAGAGTGAACCTTAATGTAAACTATATTTAGGAGATGATAATGCCTCCATGTAGATTCATCACCTAAAGCACTGCACTCTGCTGTGGGCTGCTGACAGTGCAGGAGGCTATGAGCGTGTGGGGTCAGAAGGTACATGGGAATTCTGCATTTTCTGCTCAATTTTGCTGTGAGCCTAAAATGGCTCTAAAAAGATAATATTTACATTATGAGCAAACCCACCCTCCCTCCCTTGGGAGAACTGGAGGCCCAGATCACATAAACTCACCCTTTTCTTCTTGCGGTTTTGAATAGCCTCATTCCTCCTCCTCAGCCATGTTGGAAACAGTCCTTTGAGGTCTCTTTTAAGACTTGCCATTGTCCTCACTCCACGTCTCCTCCTGTAGACCAGGCCATAACTCACCCCCACTACATACTCGGACATTTCTTCTTCTCTGTCCTGCTGTTGGGGTGAATGGTTTTGTGGAAGGGAAGAGAATTGGATACTATGGTTGAGAGTCAACTTGCTAAGGTTTTTTGCTAGTGCTTCTGAGACAGCTTGAGTGTCAGCTGAAAGAAAAGAAATTTAAGATCCATTACCCCCAAGTCACTAGTCTGGTCTCAGGGTCAAACTAGGCCTGCCCTTAAACAGGTGAACATGGACAGTGAGAGGTTTCTCAGGTGGAAGATTCCTTCTACCCCCTGTGTTACCGACTGTGCTAGTCCAGAACTCTGCACAGTGGAGGGCATACATTGAGAACGTGCTTTAAAATCCACTATTATGGGAAACATTGCCTTCAAACCTTTCTCTTTCCTGTTTTTGTTAGTTCTGAATGTTACATTTTTTCATGACGTCAAAAGTAGCTAAATACATAATTCCAAGTGGAAGATTATGGGACAGAAACTTACATTACGACTCATAACAGTAGCAACATTACAGTTATGAAGTAGCAATGAAAATAATTTTATGGTTGGGTCACAACATGAGGAACTGTATTTAAAGGGCCAGAAGGTTGAGAACCACTGCTAAAGGGTAGATTTAGCTAGAAAGCTAATCCTGAAAATTTTGGCAAGATTAAAAAATGTTGTGGGGCTGGCATGGCTCAGTGGTTGAGCATAGACCTATGAAACAAGAGGCCATGGTTGGATTCCCCGTCAGAGCATATGCCCTGGTTTCCTGGTTCACCCCCAGTGGGCCATGTGCAGGAGGCAGACAATCAATGATTCTCTCTCAGCATGAGTATTTCTCTCTCTGTTCCCCTCCCTTCCTCTCTGAAGTCCATAATAAAAAAATTATATAAACTTTGCTTTAAAATGAAATTAAGTTTCTTGTGTTTCCTCTTTGTCCTCTATGCTTTTTCCCCCACGGGGTGGGTGGGGGGGTGCTACTTAGCTGTATCCTTCTTTAAATCACTGAAGGCATCCCCCTAAGGACGGAGGGGGGGCTCCTCACTTCCCCAACCCCTGTAGTCAAAAAGGGCAGCATCTGTCTTACCTGAATAGCTTTCATTGGACATCTGAGAAAATGACCCAGTGGAGGGGGCATTAAGCTTTGTTGGTGAATCCATTGCAAGTCTAGTCACAGCCTGAAGTTCCTCCTAGAACCCGTCTGCAAAGATTTCAAGCTGAAGGTGATGCTCAAAACTCACAAGTTGCTACAAAGCAGTCTGGAAAGAACAGCACTGAAATGTGGGGAAAGCGCTAAACTAAACAATGCCGGTAAACCAATCAACAAGCCTATTTGAAAGCAAATTACTGATGACTAAAGAGTTTAAGGTGGAGTATTCCTGTTAGTGGGCTAATAGAAAACTCTGCAGCTGCTCTCCAAGAGATAAGCATGCCCTCTGGCTCTTAGGCTGGGAAATTTATCAGGAGCCTGGATGGGTGTATCCTAAAATTTAGTGTTTTGTTTTTTGGGTTTTTGTTTTTTTTTTCAAATTCTATTTCTTGAGATGACTACTGGTTTGTGAGCCAGACTTGGCTCGTTCTAGAGCAGAGCAGAAAAGGGCAGTTTCCCCCCATTTTTGGATTAACTCCCAATTACGTTAACTGAGAAAGTTTCCTTAAAGTTTTCCTTGCCTGACTCATCCTAAATCTTTGATGCTTCTAAGGCAGTGGTTCTCAACCTTGGCTGCACATTAGAATCACCTGGGAATCTCTTTTTTTTTTCCCCTTTGGGAATCTTTTTAAAATCCTGATTTCTGGGCCTCATCCTCCAGAAATTCTGTTTCTTTATTATTAATGTTGTGGCCCCACCCCATAACAAAGAAACAGAATTTCCAGAGGATGAGGCCCAGAAATCAAGATTTTAAGAAGATTCCCAGGTGATTCTAATGTGCAACCAAGTTTGAGAACCACTGTTCTAAGAGGAAGTAAGTGTCTGTTATAAACAGCTTATTAGCTTGATATTTTATGGGTGTGTTATTTTAGATCTATAATTTCATTTTATAAGCTACACCTTTTAATGCAGCTAACATTGTTAAGCAACTGAGAATAATTAAATTTATAATTGCTGCCCTTCACCCCAATACTTGTACTGAATTCTAGCAAAGAGCACCAACATTAGCTGCTGATTTTCTACAGGAAGTAGAACAAATCCCCAGCTGCCCCCATCTTCTTTTTCTCACTCCTCTTCAATGTACAACCTTCTCCATCCCCTTTTCAGCTGGAAACTATGAGAAAATACTCAAAAGCAATCTTGTTTGTTTTTAGTAAAAAGAGATGACATTATGATCAAGAAATATTTTTGTAGGGGCCCTGGCTGGCTGGGACCAGTGGTTAGAGCATCAACCTGAGGACCATGGGTCTCGGGTTGTACTGCTGGTCAAGAGCAAGTACCTGGGTTCCAAGTTTGATCCCTGTGCCTGGTGGGGTTGGTGTTGGGGGAAACCAATTTATGTGTGTGTCTCTCATATCCATGTTTCTCACTTTCTCTCTCTCTCTCTCTCTCTCTCTCTCTCTCTCTCTCTCTCTCCTTCCTCCTCCTTACACTCTCTCTAAACATCAATGGAAAAATATCCTTGGGTGAAAATTAACAAAACAAAACAAAAGAAATATTTTTGTAGGGGATAAAGAATAGCCATAAACATGCTGTGTCACAACACTTTATTCAAGTGGTTCTTGAAAGCATGGCCTCCAGACAGGCAGTCTCAACAGCCCCTGGTAATTTGTTAGATATGATTAGATATAATTAGCTTCAACCTGAACCTACTGAACCAAAGACTGGGGTTCTCATCCATCATTTTAAAGTTCCCTGGCGACTCAAATGCATGCTAAAGTTTAAGAAGCACGGCTTTATGGCTCTCTTAACTTTCTCCTCCTATTGTTCATCTCTCTGCTGTTCTCCTTTTTGCCCTGAGCCCCTCTCCTACAAGGGTCTCGGAGACTTCCAAGGGAGAAGTGAGAGTAAAAATCAGATTGCAGGAGATTTAACATATAGAGGTGAGACAGTGAAAAGGGCTGACATACACTTTCACTCAAGAAATCCAGGTTTGCCCAGCTGGCATTGCCCAGTGGTTGAGCTTCAACCTATAAACCAGGAGGTCAATTCCAGGTCAGGCCACATGCCTGGCTTGCTGGCTTGATCCCCAGTGTAGGGCTTGCAGGGTGCAGCTGAACAATGATTCTCTCTCATCATTAATATCTCTCTCTCTTTCTCTCTCTCTCTCTCTTAATTCCTCTCTGAAATCAATAAAAAATACATTAAAAAAAGAAAAAAGAAATCCAGGTTTTAGGAAAAGGTGAGAGAAGCATATCTATAGGAAGGTGTTGGGGGGATAGATGGAGGAGGTTCAATTTACTTCAACCTGACAGAAACTGAGCCAGAAGCAACAGAAGGTAAATATATGAAGAGGATTGTTCAGAAACACAATCCCTAAAATATGCTTTAAAAGATCAGATAACAAAATCTTTAAAATTTATAACAGCTCTCTAATGTTTTTCCTTTATAGTTCCAAAAAGGACATAAAATGGTACCTAGAAATTAGAAGTTTATATTAGAAACAACAAAAAAGGGTTTGAAAATAAAGTCAAAGATATTTTCTTAATAAGTAAGGCAAAATCACACACAGATATAAAAGTAGGAGAGAAAATATAAGAAAATGAGAATCTAAGATGAGGAAATACAATGGTTTCAAATTCCTTAACCACACTAGTTACTAACTAGAGGATAATGAAGAAATGCTTTCCAATTTCTGAAGGAAAATGACTTCTCACCTAGAATCCTGTACTCAGCCATACTACCGAGCAAGGGTGAAACATTTTTAGACATTCACTTTCTCAAAAATGTCACCACCTGCATACATTCCTTTTGTGGCAGGCACACATGAGCAGAGCAAGGAAGATGGCCATGTACCAGTCATCAACACACAAAGACCCGGTGCCAAGCAAAGGACAAAATGCAGGGTGGGACGTTTTCCCAGGATGACCTTTTCTCCCCTGGAGGTATGGACCCCCTGACCTTTCCTCCCTAGAGATAACATCTAGGTCTCAGTTGTATTTCAGCTCCAGACCCAGAAGAGAAACAAAACCAGCCACAGCTGATCTCCAGACCAGCTTCATTGAATAGGGATCCTTTGCCCTGGGGCCCACGAATCAGTGGAGACCACAACCCTGAAAGGACACAGCTGTAAAACTGCTGAATAGTCTATTAAGATTTTCCCCTTGAACCTCCACTAAAATCTCCACCCTTAAAACCCTTAGGACTGCCCTAGCAGGTTTGGTTCAGTGGATAGAGAGTTGGCTTGTGGACTGAAGGATTCCAGGTTCAATTCCAGTCAAGGGCATGTACCTTGGTTTCGAAAACATCCCCAGTGGAGAGTGTGCAGGAGGCAGCTGATTGGTGTTTCTCTCTCATCGATGTTTCTAATTCTCTACCCCTCTTCCCTCCTTTCTGTAAAAAATCAATAAAAAAATCAATAAAATATATTCAAAAACAAACAAACAAAAAACCCTTAGGACTGCCCTAACAGGTTTGGCTCAGTGAATAGAGCATCTGGCACAAACCTTGGTTGCAGGGCCCTTCTTCCTATAGAATCTTTCCTTCTATAGCTCTTCACAGCTCCTTCTGCTAAATTGGATGCTGCCCAAATTCATGAATCATTAAATAAATCAAATCAGATCTTTTAAATTTAGGAAGTTGAATTGTTTTTAAGAATAAGAAACAAAGCTAGGTGGAAGGATCTCACTTCCCAAATTAAGAGATAAGTTGATAGGGTTCAAGACACCCTAACCTAAATGATGGTACTACTAGAGGCCTGGTGCATGATAATTCATGCACTCGGGGAGAGGATGGGGGCGGTCCCTCAGCCCATTCTGCACTCTCTCACAGTCCCGGACCCTTCGGGGTATGTCCACCTGCCGGCTTAGGCCTGCTTCCCCACAGGGAGAGGGCCTAAGCCTTTAGTCGGACATCCTTAGCACTGCCACAGAAGCAGGAGCGCCTCCCATCACCACCGCTGCACTGGCCAGCCATGAGCCGGCTTTTGGTTGAGCAGCACTCCCCCTGTGGAAGTGCACTGACTCCCAGGGGGCAGCTCCTGCATTGAGCATCTGCCCCCTGGTGGTCAGTGTGCATCATAGCAACCGTTTGTTCTGCACTTAGGGTGAATTTGCATATTACCCTTTTATTATATAGGATTAGGGGCAGAAATAGAATATTGGGGACTAGCTATTAGATATAAGAAATCATTCTCTGTTAACTGTGATCATTTGTTCTGATTAAAGAAAGCACATTCTAACCTGGCTGGGACTTGTACACCCTACCCCTCTCCAGGACCTGGAATCAACCTTGCCCCCAGAAGTCAACCTTGGACCTGGTAGTTAACCTTGGAATGTGGTCCATCTGTGTTTAAGAATTACCGACGACAGCCATAGGCACTCCATCCGCTATGTTTATAGATATGCTCGCTATCGTTGCTTGTGAGTCTTCTTCCAAGTCTTAAACAACCCATCTGAGAGGTGGCCACTGATTTACATGTGCTATCATTTAAAAAAAAGGGGGAATTTGCTGGAAGCCGGTCAATCCTTGCTGCTTGACACAGTTGCTGCAGGGAAGAAACATCTGCACAGCATATGTTTCAAGGGACCTGGCGTATATGGCATACTGTTCTTAATATGTTTGCTCCCCTTCTTGCCGCTATGTGTTTTAACCAAGGCCAGCTCTCCCAGAAAGGTTGCTTCCCCAAGAGGGGATTTTTCCCTGAAGTTAGGGAGGGAATAAAACCCCTTAACTAAATGCCAGGCGGGTAGTTAATCACTTTAACTACGAACAATCACCCTTAAGCTACATAATCTTAACTCCCTGGAATGGAGATAAGAAACGCCCTAACCTTTGGAATAGAAATTGACAGGATTAAAATCAACTGGTATAAATACAGATGTAGCAAGACCGTAAAACACAGAACTTGGTTTATTTGCTGCCAGAGCCACAGAAAACACGGCAGCATCATGGTCGAGGAGGTACAGAAGCATTCTGTGCATACACTTGTGTTCAGGTCATTGAAGAGGGCCCATGACACGTTTGTAGCTGATAATGGAAAACCTGTGCCTTTGGATGAAGAGAGTCACAAACGAAAAATGGCAATCAAGCTACGGAATGAGTATGGTCCTGTGTTGCACATGCCTACTTTGAAAGAAAATTCTAAAGAGAAGGGTCCT